GCAATAATGTGCCTTATTTTGCACCAGTATATCCAAAATGATTAGTTTAAATTACATACTCATCAGCATGTAAAAAAACCCCACAAAGCACAGAAATGAAAAGGTAAAACACACCTTTTATTTTACAAAGGTTTAAATGGCAGTGCACTTTAAATCAAGAGGCTAAGGTAACTTGTATCTTAACCTTTATTTTACTTACCTGTATATCTTACACAAAATACAAATGTTCAGCATGTTGTCTTCTAAACAGGAAATTGATGGCAAATGTCTTTTATTATGCGCCCAAGTGGTCCCTGCTTATGTTTTTCCCCAAGCCAGTGAGTCCACTCTATGAGTGAGAGGTGTTCTTTTAGCATCTTCTCTGTCCTATTCCCTCTTAGTCTCCATATGTTCGTTTTGTATGTCAGCCACGCTCTTTCAATGTGTTGTGAGTGAGCTCCACTGTGTGGGTCTACAAACCACTGGGAATGGTTTACTGTGAAATGTCTGTAGCCCATGCTGGCCAAAGCACCCCGGTAGGCTCTCCACTCATCTGAAATAATGGTAGTGCCTGGACGCACATGTTTCACAACTATGGGGACGAGGTGTGCTCTTGATCTTCTTTTCACAAGCCGCAGGATTGGGTGTCTGTGTTTATTCCTCACACCTAGAATGCCAAACACCCATTTCTTTCGCCTCCATGTTATTGATGCTCTCCCTCGTCCATACTGTAAAAGTTAAATATGTAATTAAAAAAAAAAGAAATACTACATTATCATTATATTCATTTAACATGTTTACACATACAGACGGGTAACAAATTAAAGGAAAGTCTGGGGGAGCTTTATACAAGTGTGGCTGATTTTAATTTCAAAACACACAAGGTTTACATATACACTCAGTTGGTTATTTCTAGAATAAAAGAAAACAGATGAGAGAAAAACAGATGTGTGCTTGTACATTATTTATATGTTACAAGAAATAGTAAGACATCACAGACATTCCAAAACCAAATAAATGCCAATTAGAAATGTTCAAATGACAATAATAGTGGTCAGCAAAATTGCCTTATAGGTTCTAAATTTACCTTTCTTTTATGACGAAAGTTACTTTCATCAAGAACGGCAAATTCCAGAGCACTTCCAATCATCTGTCCATGTCTTCTTCTAAATCGTTTCATAGCACAGTGGCAAACATTCCTCATGATACGAGCCATCTTAGACAGTGTTTTGGAGCTTTTTGCAATGCCATCTTGCATCATATCAATTTGTCTGATCCGTAACCCCTG